TTTTTAGGCAAGGCTAAAAATTTTGGTATTGTTATCAAAACACATATAGACCAATGAAACAGAACAGAGGCCTCAGAAATAACACAACACAACTACAACCCTCTGATGTTGGACAAACCTGACAAAAGCAATGGGAAAGGAATCCCTATTGAATGGTGTTGGAAAACTGGCTAGCCACATGCAGAGAACAAACTGGACCCCTTCCTTACACATCATACAAAAATTATCTCAAGAATAAAGGCTGTCATGAATTTAAAGTGAGACCAAGCAATGTGGTTTCAGTGTGAACTTCCCAGAACCTGAGTCATGTAAAACAAATGAAGAAAACATTCTCAGGAAAAATTAGTGGAAAAGGGGAGGCTTGGCTTCTTGGGTTGGTAAGAAGCCAAGGCTGTGATCTCTAGCAAAGCTCACACAATCTATAGGCTCTGCAGGCTCCTTGGATCCCTCGAGGCAGCACACGACTGCAGGTTACACCTCGGCTGTGTCTCTTCATACTGACAGCCATTTGTTAGTAACCGACCTGGTTTGGAAGGTCTGCCATGGGCGATTCTGGCTGCATATGTGTGTGCAGACAAACGGGCCTAAGAATCGAAGGGCGGGACTGCAAAGCAGCCGCAGGTGCTGCTGTTTGAAGTCACACGGAAGCTAGGGCTGAGAAGGGAAATGGCAAAAAGGATTCAGAAAATGTGGGCATGGCTTAAACATGGTTGAGCAGTAACGCCATCCTTAGGAAGAAAAGAACAGTAGTAGGTGGCAGGTAGAGCACTCTTCCCTTTTTAACAGTTCAATAGTTTCTAGAACAGGTGGTTTCTAGTCACGTGGATGAGTTCTTCAGTGGTAATTCTGAGATTTTGGTGCACCTGTCTTCTAAGCAGTATAAACCATACCCAATGTGTAGGCTTTTATCCCTCACCCCCTTCCCTCGGGTCCCCAAAGTCCGTTATTATCCTCTGCAACATGCCTGCCTGTCCTCAGAACATCCCACAGCTTACAGGCTTATCTTTGGGCTTTATTCCAAGAACAAGACAACTTTCAAAATGGCCTTGTGAGAATGTTTGCTTTGGCTCCAAGGCCCAGTAGGGAAGATAGATAGTGATGTGGAAATTCCTAGGCTAGGAATTTCCTCGCTAGGTTAAATCTTAGCGAGCGCCTGGCTAAGCGACTTAGTAACTAGCCGCTTATTAAATGCATTTTGAGTGGATGAATGGTGCATCATAGTCCAGTGGAACACACCTTAACATACTCTTGAGTAAAAAGGCATGTGTTACTCAGGGTCGTAGTTGGTGGTCAAGCCAACACTGAGCCCTAGATCTCACTTATTCAGTCGGCAAGCATACTCAGTGTGTGCCACATCCCGGGAACTGGGTTGTGCTGGGCTGGACACAGGGGCTACTAGTAGGCTCCAGGCAGCAGGTTTTGTTCCCTCCTCTGCCACATTCTCTCAGGCAGTACTGGAGTCTTTTTTGGAACTGGCTGCTCCAGGTCTCTGTTCAAGGGCTTATGCCTCCATGTCAGTGTTGTGAAATTTTCTCCAGAGGTGGCCTGGAGGCCAAGCAGGTGTGGCAGTTCTGCAGCAGATGCATCTGCTACAAAAGTGGAAGATGACTCCTTTCTCCATTGGGTCCTGCTCATCATCCCTGTGACTGCCTTTGGCTTGGGGACATGGCAGGTAAAGACTGGCACCTGGTGGGGTAACTCTGGGCCCTTGACCCTGCTGCCATCTGCTTGGGCTTATGCTCTGTCATTGTAGGTCCAGCGTCGGAAGTGGAAGCCGAACCTGATTGCAGAGTTGGAGTCCAGAGTTCTGGCTGAGCCTGTTCCTCTGCCTGCAGAATAAGTGTGTGGTTGTGCCCCTGGGGCTGAGCTCACTTGAGTTCAACAGTGGAGCCCTGGTTTCTGCTGGGCAGCCTGGCCCTCTTGGCAGGACTTTTAGTCACTTCCTTGACCTCAGATGAGAGCTCTCAGTATCAGTCATCCTGTTGGGCTTGTTGTTGACATGTGACTGCCCTTGTGAAGGTACCTGAGCCCACCTCCTGACGTATGGAGGGAAGTCTTATTTGGGGTCCTGCGTGTCACTCTTTTTTCGGCAGGTGTTGTGAACTTATCTTCCACGGGGCCCAAGGCCCTGTCGTTCTCACTGCGAGGGTGGTCTTTTGAAAAAGTGCCCTAAATGATTTGACTGCCCTCTCCCTAGAGTATTCCCTCAGAGGCAGGTAAATCCAACCAAATGTTCCATCGAGCATAGCAAACAGTATGCCAGATTCGGCTTGTGGATGAGGTTTCGGCCCACACGTTTTAAAACATTTCACATGAAATATTCATGGAGTCGTCCAGATTTTTAGCTTCTCTCGTAGAGTTGGACTCTGGGAGTGCAGATCCGCATCCCCACATGGCATCAAAGGGCCAGTTTCCCTTTAGAGAGGATGCCCTCTATCTTTCTCCTTCTCTTGTCTGGCCCTGTTGGGCTGTGTAGTCTGCCACCCTCATTAGGGGATTCGTTTTCCGGGCAAACCTTGCTCAGGCACTTCTTGTCTCCATGCAGCCCAATGGAACTGAAAAATCTGGAGTATAGGCCAGCGAAAGTCAGGGGGTGCTTTGATCACTCCAAGGAGCTGTATATGATGCCCCGGACTATGGTGGACCCTGCCTGAGAGGCCTGGGAGGCCGGCCGCATCTTCTCCTCAGCTGAGACTGGAGCCTATGTGGCCACTCCCTTCCAGTGCACCCACCTAGGGTGAGTAGGGCATGTGGGAGCTGGCTGTCCTGGCAGAGGCAGTCAGGGTAAACTAATTTACATCACTATTTCCTTCACAGTCCCTAACCTGAGTAAGACCCTGGGAAACCCAAGATACCCAGAAAATTCGATTCCTTGCAGATTTTAAAATCTCTAATTGTGACATTGACCTAAACTTCTCAGCTAGCTCATTATGACTGAATAATTTCTGTATGTTGACCTCTCAAGCGGAAGGAGGGATTCATGAAATGGGGGCCTCTTCTCTGAAGAAACTCTCTAGTGGCCCACACAGTAGATGATGGCGGGGTATAAGGAGGGGCCAAGGAGAGGAACTTGAGAAAGGAGCCCAGCCCTACCTTCAGGGAGTGGAGTCAGGGATGGCTCCCTTGGGGGCTATTTGGAAGTTAAGAGGCTATTTGGGAGTTAAGAGTTCAGGAAGAACATTCCAGGCAAAGCAAATGACAGGTACAGGAGCACCCGTGTGATTCATTGAGGAACTGGAGGATTAATGTACAAATGAAAATACCTGGGGCTCTAGTTAGCCCATGGGTTCCTGTTTTATGGCCAAGATGGGTCGGTCCCAAATGCTCTGTCTCCAGCAGGCTGGGATGCCAGGGCTTCTCCTCACCGCTGCCCCTTTTATGAGGGATTGGAGGCAGCCATTGCTAGTTCAGGGAAGAGGTGTGGGGTCTCAGCTCTGGCATTGCAGTGGGTAAAGCACAAGGAAAGAAGCAGAGATAGAGGGGAAAGCCACGTTGGTAAAAAGGTGGTGAGGTGGCAGGGAAGCTTTTACTAACCAAGGGGCCTCAAGAGAGGAAGACTGTGTGTGGGACTGCCAGCACTCCACTGAATCAGTCCTGTTTTAAAAGACTTCCTTGGTGCTAGTTGTTTCTATGGGTGCCTGAGTAACCGTGAGTGACCGTTTTTATTCAGAAACCCTTTCCACCTGGTAAATAGAGGGTTGGTTCCCCGGGAGAAAGTGAATCCTGAAACCTGGCAGAAAGGCCAGGTAAAGGACATGGACACTTCCTGCTTTAGGGAAGGCTCTGGGAGTCAGCCAGGCTCCATGGTCTCTCACGTTCCTTTATAGATTGAGGGAGAAATGGACCTCGTTGGAATGGTGAGGCTGACAGAAACCAGTAAGTCTTTAGTCCCCGAGAACAATCCAGAAAGGAACCACTGGCATTACGGGGACCTGGAGGCTATGACCAGAATCACAGGCGCAGAGCCCATCTTCATTGATGTTGACTTCAGTATGTCGTGACCAGCTCACCCCAGAACAAGTAGCTTTTGTGAATACGGTCCTTCCTCCTCGTAACCCTCATTACTCAGTCTGTTGTGGCAAACATTCTCGCACGTGTATATGGGGCAGGTGGCAATTCAGCAAAGGGAACCTAGCTAGGCAAGTACTGAGGGGTCAAGGCCAAGATAAAGGCCACACAGGATTTCCAATTAAAATGACAGCCACTAGGAAGTAGTGCAGAGGCTGGCAGGCAGCAGACAGTGGACTTGAGTCCACAGTCTCTGCAGAAAATACAGTCCCTGAAGGACCCATAGGAAGGCAAACCAGAGTCACTCTGAGGAAGGAGCATTTGCAGTACATCATAACCTGGAGTCCCAGGCGGCCCTCTGGCTCTCTCCCCTTCAGGCCAGCAGTCCATTAACACTTTCAACCTAGATATGGACTCTCTGCAGCTACATCATACCTGTGGTTTAATAAATTCATATGTGGAACACCTGGTGTGTGAGACCAGCAGCTAAAGCCCTATCCCTGAATAATGACGTATTTGAAAAGACTACCTTTATGCTTGATCATGTGCTACTGGGATGAATAAAAGTTTGGGGCCTTCTACTTTGCATGAGCTCATGACTGATCATAAAATCCTGGCTTCGTTTTGGTCAGTCCAAAGAACTTTCGTAAAACTTAACATGAAAATTACACCTAAGGAGCAAAATGCCTGGTTTATGAATGTATAAGGGTGAGAAGGGCTGGGTGCAGCGGGTCACTTGAGGTCAACAGCTGAGACCAGCCTAACATTGTGAAACCCCGTCTCTACCTGAAGCACAAAAATCGGCCAGGTGTGGACCTGTAATTCCAGCCACTCAGGAGGCTAAGGCACCAGTGTATCGTCAACCTGGGAGGCAAAGGTTGCTGAGATCATGCCTCTGCACTCCAGCCTGGAAAACAGTGAGGCTCTTTAAAAAAAAAAAAGCTATACTTGCTAACCCCAAGATTCAACCCAAGATACCCACAGACACTGGCTGAAGGAAAATTTGCATTAATTATTTTTATTTACAGAAACAGTTATTTACATTTAACCCAGTTTCGTGGCAAGTTCTTTAGCCTTTGCCTTTTCTAGCTTGGCAATGCGAGCCACAGACTTGGGACCCAGGACATTGCCTCCCCAGTGACGCCGGATCTGAAAAGACAAAAACAGGGAGTCAGCTTAGCCTGTTTTCTGAGATTTTCAAGGTTATTAGTTGCGTTGTTCTGTTTGGCTGTTCCAAGTTGATTGCCAAATACAACTGCTCATGAGTTAAGCCAGCCAGTTGTTTGGGAAAAAGATTAGCACATGACAGTATTTTGTGTAAAGCTGATCTTACCTCATCGTATCTGTCATTGTAGTTGGTGCGAATAGCTTCCACCAGCTTAGCCAAAGCACCTTTGTCTTCCCTAATAAGGCAGGAGGGAAAACAAAAGTGGGTTTTTGGCCTCTGTTTCCCTTTTAGAACATGTGTCTTCATTTTTAGCTCAAGACAATCTTTTGCTGAGATGCAATGTGACCACATGGTTTACTCAGGTGAAGAAATTCTTAATCATCACTGGCAAAAGTTCAGATAAACGTTATTTCTTAAAACTAAGACTTCCTTAAGGAAAACAACTGTGAGGCATGGATTAAATGCACTGGCGAAGTCTGGGGCCAGGCTGTGTACTTACGGATTAACGTGTGTGAAGGCGACAGTGGTGCAGGTCTTCCTATGAACTAGACGTCCCAGTCTTGCCTTACCCTTGATGATGCAGTAAGGGACTCCCATTTTACGACAGAGGGCAGGCAAGAAGACAACCAGCTAAAAGAAAGCATTAGTTGAACAGTGTATTTTGACCAAAAGCAGTACATTTCAAAGCTAGCTTGGTAGCAAGTGCTCAGGGTTAAAAAGCTCATGGATTTGCACTTCAAGGTTAAATTCAGTGAGAGATTCACATCATTGCAAGAGCCACGCATGAGTTGGATCCCTTGTCAGTACTGTCCTCACCCACTTTGGTTTCATCACTGACTCGCCATTAGGCCTACTCTCCTCCTGGTACTGACAGAAGCCCTTGGATTAGCAGTCAACAGGCAAACACACCTCAATGGGATCCACATCGTGTGCAATCACCACCAGCTGAGCTTTCTTGTTCTCCACCAAGGTGGTGACGCTGTTAACTCCTAGAACAGACAATCACTGTGAGCATTCATGGGGCCTGGTCACAAGAAGCTGGGGTTTACTCTTCAGTCATTTCAGGTGAAGAAATTCTACATCACTGCAACAGACTGCCCCCAGTGTTCACCCTAAGGTGGGGTCTACTCACCTGCTCGGAGGACAGGTGGTCTCTTACTGGGGACGTCCCCTTTGCCAGCCGCTTTCTTCTCGGCCCGGGCCAACAGCCTCTGCTTCTTTTCTTGCTTCGTCTCTGGTCTGTACTTGTGGGCCAGCTTAAGCAGCTGGGTAGCTGATAAAACACTCTTCAGTTTAGGCTTATAGTCAAGCTTCTAATCCTTATCACTTAATATAAATGCTAGATCGCTGTGCTGGTATGTAAGAACTATAATGTAATGACAACTGCAGTTCAAGAAACCAAACCATTGACTCTCATGTTCTGGATGAAATAAGCAATCACTGATTTTAATAAACTCATCAACTTCAAAAGCTCCCGTCACCCAAAAGCCTCAGATCTGGAACTGTTGGAGTACAGTCCCTGCCTGAGAAACTCCTTTCCATGCCACAGAACCTCACCTGTTTGGCGGTCCAGGGCTTGGGTGAATTGGTTGATTGCAGGAGGCACTTTCAGCCGCTTATAGAGGATGGCTCTCTGCCGCTGCAACCTGATATAGCGGGGCCATTTCACAAAGCGGGTGAGGTCTCTTTTGGGCTGGATATCTTGTCCTGAGAAGTAAAGGGCGACATCGACCGAGGCTCAAATTCCGTGTCAAGTTCCTGTTTGGGGCCACTCAGAAGGGTGCTGGTGCATCAGCGATCTTGGTGGTTTAAAACGTCATCAACATCTTTCAAATAGCAAATATTCTTTTACATCATCTGTACACAAACACCTGAGAACGCGAGCTCTCGAGAGCACGATGCCTTTCCTAACAAGAAGCCAAGGTGCCACCAAGTACAGCAGAATCGCAGTCCGAGGGCCTCGCTGGGACAACACTACTGTACTTGTTTTCCAATGGCCAAGCTGAAGCCAAGGCCACGACGCTATTGAACCAAATGCTCACTGAACAACTCCCAAGGAAAACAAGACACACACACCATCACTGCCCCTGTCTCTAAGGGACACAGGTTAAGGGCTGAGACCACTTCACACCCACTGAAACCTACAAGATCCAAGTCAATCCCATTACCACATTTCCCTGGGAAAAACATAGGTTGTTTCCATTCTATCGTTTGTTACTCACCAATGCCAAAATTTTTAGGCCTTTTCTCAAATAGTGGATTCACCACTTTCTTGGCCTCCTGCTTCTTAACGACAGCAGGGGCCGGAGCCACCTTCTTCCCCTTGGCCTTCTTTCCTTTCGGCTGGACAGAAAGAAAATTCCGGTTAAACCGCCGCCTTCTTCGTCGGGAGGTCTCATTCCTTTAAAACAAGGGGCACCGACGGCCCCTGCCCAAACCTGGCCGGCGAGCTGCGTCCTGAAGCCCCCCGGCGCCACCCCAGCCTGTGCAGCTGCGCTCTTGCTTGCTGGGAACGTCCTCGCTGTTACCCGACAGGGGCATCTACCATCAGCCGCACGACCACGCTGCCCCCGGCACCCAGAGTGGCCGGAGCCCGGCTAAGGCCCAGGCCGAGGCCACGCTCTCTTCCCGTCGCCCACCCAGGAGACGCCTGGTACAAGACTCATGGCGTCTGAACCGCGGCCCCGCAGGCTCCAGAAATAGCAGGAGCGGGCTCGGACTCGTTGGTCAAAGCCTCTGGGGCGACCCTCAGAAAAACCAGAAGCCGCTAGTACTGCCGGCGCCTCGGCCCCGTCCGAGTCCCGCACCGCGGCGCTCCCTGCTCTCCTCCTCCAGCCCAGCGGCATGGGAACTAACGCATCCCGCTCCCGGCCGCCCAGGGCTTTAGTCCGTCTCAATGTCTCCGTGCCACACCGGGTACAGCTCTCCTAGAGCTAGGGGGAGCAGGAGGCCCTGTGGGGCCACGCCTGGAGAAGGATGGCAGCGGGTGAATCCGGGACCCGATTACCGTATCGCGGAACCAGGCCTCACTCACCATCTTGGGCGGCGGGAAGAGAAAGAAAGGAAAGGGAACTGTGGGTAATAAGTATGCGGCCTCAAAGATCGCGAGAGTTGATGCCGGCGCGGTATTTCATATTTAAAGCAACAGGACTCCTATAAACCAAAAAATCGACGCAGGGCGGAGAGGCTGAGACGGCGGACTACGTTTTTGGACTCCGGCGCGACCGGAAAGACTCTGTCCCGGCCGAGAGACTGCGGAGGGCGGGCCCGGCCTGGGGGGAGGCACTTGTCCACCCCGCCCCTGGTGACACCGAGGACGCGGCGTCTGGTGCGCGGGCTGTGGTTGGGGGGGGGGGGGTGGGGGGGGGGTGGGGACGGAGGTGTGTCGCGGGTGGGGACGGAGGTGTGTCAGGGGTGGGGATGGAGGTGGTGGTGGGTGTGTGGTCGGGAGTCGGGGGTGGGTGATCTCTGGGGGCTGGGGGCTGGGATCAGGGGTCCCTTTACTACTTGTGACGTATTTCCCCCATCCCGCCAAATATGGGCTCAAACAACGCGAGTGCGTCCAGGAGTCCGCTAGGCCTTGCGTCAGGCCACGAACCCAGGGGTCCCCAGGCCCTCGCGGAGCACTGTACGTAAAGACCTGGTCCAAGAGCCAGGCAGGTCCAGCACCGAGACCGCCCAGTGCGGCTGCAGGGCAGAGGCAGAGGGGCGCGCGGAGTTGATCCCCTTGTCCCGGCGCACCGAGGAGCCATGAAGGCTGTTAATCAAGGGAGTGGAATGACCGCTTTTTTTTTTTTTTTTTTTCTTTTTAAGGCAAGAGTCTCGCGCTGTCATCCAGGCGGGAGTGCAGTGGCGCGATCTCGACTCACTGCAGCCTCCGCCTCCCGGGTTCAAGCGATTCTCTTGTCTCAGCCTCCCGAGTAGCTGGGATTACAGGCGCGCCCGCCGCCACGCCCGGCTAATTTTCGTATTTCTAGTACACACGGGGTTACACCATGTTGGCCAGGCTAGTCTCGAACTCCTGACCTCTCAGGTGATTTTTTTTTTCCCCCCCGCCTCGGCCTCCCAAAGTGCTAGGATTACAGACATGAGCCACCGAGCCCGGCGGAATGACAGCTTCTTAGGACCTCTTCCCTGCCGCGTGGAAACTGGAGGGAGGGGGCAGCAGTACAGGGATGAGGTCAGAAGCCTTAGTAGGAGTGGAAGGAAATCGTGGATGCAGGCCGTGCAGAGGGGTCGGATTGGAAGGACTCCTCAGATGGGAGGGCGTGGCGAGGGTGGCAACAGGCTAAGAAGTTATGCCCTGGCTAGGGACAGGGAGCTGGTGTTGAGCTTGCAGGCCTTCCCGGGACACACTGTGGGCCTGGACATGATGTATGGACTGGAGCCCTGGACAAGGCTTGGAGGGCTGGCCAGGAGTTCTAGGATGAGCTTGCTCTGGCAGAGGCGGGGCCACAGGAGAGTCCCGGCAACCTCTGAGATGACTGCTGATGGAATGAGTTCATCTGTGTTTCAGTGATTGACTTTATCTGGCAGAAAGAAATCCCCGGAAATCTGGGTGTTCTGCTAAGGTGGGGCCATAGAGGGTGGCTGAGGGCTCTGCCTGCACTCAGGGGTCTGTCCTGCACTCTAGGTCCAGGTCTCCGCCCCTGCGCCACCTGAGGCTCTCCCATGGCCCAGCAGAGAGCTCTGCCCCAGAGCAAGGAGACACTGTTGCAGTGTTACAACAAGCGGCTGAAGGATGACATCAAGTCCATCATGGACAACTTCACTGAGATCATCAAGACCACCAAGGTGGGGCAGGGGGCACAAAGGGGAGCAGGGTCTGGGGAGGGGTGGAGACAGGAGAGGCCAGGGACTGAGCAGCCTGAGTGAAGGGTGTTCCAGACAGGAAGCACCCAGTGCACAGGGAGCCGGTCAGCAGATAAATCAATCAAATAATGACACATCTTGGCAAAGCAGCGCAGGGGGACTCTTGCTGAACTGCCGGGGCCCCACGTCCCTGTGGGTTTGGATAGAGATTTCACTTTTTAGTGCCTCGGTTTCTTCTGCATGGTGGGGTCCTGCATTGGTGAGTTTACCTGTGTTAAACAGTTACCTCGGGGTTTGGCACAGATCCAGCGAGCAGGAGACAAGCAGGCTGAGGGGAGAAGGCAGGGTCCCTCTAGGCAGGTGGAGTGGTCAGCACTGGGGCCTGCAAGCCTGCTGATCGTTACAGCTGCACCAGATTGGGCTGTATCCTTTCTGGCTGCTGCAGACCTGGCAGGCTCAGTAAGCAGTGATGGTAAGCCTGGAAGCTAGCATGTACTTTGTGCTCGCCATGTGTCAAGCCACTTTGTGTGGCTGTCTGGGCCCGTTCCGCTGAATCTTCATGGGGACTCTGAGGTGGGCACCATTGTCCTCTCCATTTCAGGAGGAAACCCAGGCCCAGGAGATTTGAACTCACAAAGTCAGGCTCTTAACTACTGAGGGCACCTGACACCCACCCTGAGCTGAGCCCTGGAAAGGCCTACTGGGAAGCCCCGTCCAGGTTAGCCGAATGCACTGGCTGGACTCCTGGCCCCTCTGTTCACCGTCTGAGACTCCTTGACTGTACTGGTTGTCCCAGCCTCGCTTGCCCACCTATAAACCACGGGTGGCAGGCAAGGCTTCTGTGAGAATGTCATGGGCTAATGGTGGTCAAGTGTGTGACACAGTGACTGGCACCTGGGAAGTTATCAGGAAATAGTTGCTGAAAAGAAAAATACATCATCCCTTCACTCATCCATCTAACTGTTTACCAAATACCAAGGAAGTGATGACAGTTCCTGCCAAACAGGCCTCCCACAGCCCTAAAAGACCGGGCCAAGCTAAGACCCCATCCCTGCACCGAACACAGCAAGTGGCATGGGTCGGCCTCCGTTTGTCTTGAGCAAGGTGCCTGTTGTCTCCCATGACCAGAACAAGAGAAGGTGGAATTGAACCTTACCAGGAGTTTGGCTGACAGCACTCAGGTCTGTAGAAGGTACCACAGACAGGTCGTGGCTAGTGTGGGCATCCCGGGCAGATGACAGTTACCATCAGCTGGGCTGGGCCGAGCCGGGGTGGGATGCTTTGGCTGGGTTGATTCTACATTTTCTTCTTTGCCCCCAGATTGAGGATGAGACACAGGTGTCACGGGCAACTCAAGGTGAACAGGACAATTACGAGATGCACGTGCAGCCACCAACATCGTGAGTGGCCAGGGTGGAGGGCACAGCCCAGGCTCCAGGAGCATCAGTCCCCGCCGGGGTTTCCTGGGTTGAAGGTAGGGGGGTCTGGGGCTGGTCTGCTCTTCCCCTGAGAAGGAGCAGAAGGAGGCGAATGTAGAGATGCTTTAAAAAATGAGGTGGGGGCAAATCATTTCTCAGGAGACTGTCTGTACATGAGGTACCTGGAGGAAGCCTGGGCAGAGAGCCAGCCATGCCATCTTGTAGCTGTGCAGGTGCCAGGAAGAGGGCAGCCCTCGCTGCTAACTCACAAGTTCCTAAGGTCAGTTGTGAGTGAAAAGGCAAACAGCCGAACGGAACTGTAGGCGCCATTGGATTCCTTTGGATCACAGGAGAAACACAATAAGCAGATATTCCTGCAGGTTCACATCCAAGGCAGAGAATGCACTGGAAAAGGTCCCACAGGAGCCCTGCCCAGCTGGCAGCTGTGTCACCCCTTACCCGGGGCAGGAGGCAGGAGGGATTGCAGTTTTATCTGTGGGGTTTGCATTTGTAATGAGCAGAATGTGCACCTGCACAGTTGGACTGGAGGCCAGTCCTGCAAGAGTGGAAGCCAGAGGCTGAGGGGAGGGGAGGGCCTGCCCTCTGGAACTGACATCCTAGTTTTCTCACTTAATTCTCACAAATGAACCTGTGGAGGTCAGGGATCGAGTCCCACTTTGCAGATGAAGCAGAGGCTCCCAGAGAGGCCATCACTTGCCCAGCGTCAGCCACCTGAGGGCAGGGCCGCTGTCCCTCCTCACCCTGTGCCCACCCTGGTTCTGATGGCCACAGGTCTGAGCCGGTGAGTCCCTGATGAAGCTAGTGTCCGACCTTAAGCAGTTCCTGATCCTCAACGATGTCCCCTCTGTGAACGAGACCATCGACCAGCGCAACCAGCAGCTGTGCGCGCTGCAGGAGGAGCGCGACCAGAAGCTCATCATGTTGCGGGATGAGATCTCCATTGACCTCTACGAGCTGGAGGAGGAGTATTACTCATCCAGGTACAAATAGAGCTGGACTCCCCGTGCAGAGTGGGAGCCTGCCTACCTGGGCCTGGCCAGCAGGCAAGGCTGGCCTGACTCTGAAGGGCCTTCTGCTTTTTCAAATCCTTGCTGGCAGTGGAGTTGTGCCTGGGTTTCAGAGCAGAGCTCCTGGCCAGAACATTTGATCTACAGATAGTTCACAAACGTCTGCTGGGGCCCTGGGCCTTTCCCACAGTGCAGTGTGATGAAAGCCACAGGACTCATACCAGTTGCATAGGCCAAGTCTGGAGAAGGGAGGGCCTCGCCGGCATCCCCTGCAGGGCCTCTTGCTGAGAGCATCCCTCCTCAGGCAGTGCCTCTGGGCCAGTGCTGTGCTGTTAGCTTCTGAATCCATATTCAGAGATTTTGGTCAAGGCTGGGCCAGCCCCTCCTGGGCACTCAGGTCCATACCTATGTCCAGGGCATCAAGGATGCAATTCCATGTGTATGTCACCAAATCCCAGTGTGGAGGCCGGGACAGTCATGGGACTGTCGGGGATGAAGCCCTGGCAGGGAATGGCCTTGAAAGCTGTTGGAGTTCTAATTTCTGACCTTCTCAGCCTTATCCACTGAGCTGGAGGCAGCCTATTTGCCAGGCCCATGCTGGGCCCCAGGGATGCAGAAGGGTCAAAACCCATCATCCTGACCCTCTTGGGGCCACATAAGAAGCCAGAAGCCTGAAACCTTTTGAGCTGGCAGTACCTGAGAAATCAGAGTCCACGTGTTTTTTTACCTAGGGGGAATCTTAGGCTGGAGACAGGAAGGCCTTCCTCTCTGACCCCATTAGCTTAGAAAATCAAGATTCAGTCCAGCAGACACAAAGTCCGTGTCATCTTGTGCCTTCTCCTGGACAAACTTTTCCTTCCTAGTGGTGGATTGAAAATGCCCCTTTCTGCCCAATGGCCACGCTGGGAGCCACAGATGTCTAGAGCCAGCGTGGCCTGGGGCTTCGTTTTCCTGCCCTGGGCTCAGTGGCACTGCCAGCTGCAGCAGTTCTAGAGTTTTCCAGGTCGTTGTGGGTGGAGTCTTTGGTCCCCAATACTCATTAACTCAGCAGACAGGAGACAGCATTTCCTACATCAGCCAGGTGGCCTCCGGCAGGCGTTCCCACCTCTAACACGGGGAATCCTCTCGGCAGCCAGGATGCAGGTGAAGGACCACAGCTAGCCCTTCCCATGCCTGCAGCTGTGACGGTCCACACCTGCCTCCTACCTGCAGGCAGGGGCCCTGGCTTTCCTGCGTCCTGCCTCCCTTGCTCTTGCCCTTGTTCAGTCTCAGAACCGTCCTGGGCACAGAGTAGCATCCTGAGGAGAGTCAGAGCCAGAAAGAGCAAAGAACCAGTGGCGGAAACAGAGGTGCAGCTCATGCGGGGTGGGGCGGGGAGGGGAGCGCCCTTTGTGGCACCAGCAGGCAGGGGCAGAGGAAACTCTTCCCAGCCCTGGCTGCTTAAAGGTGATGTACAGACCAGGGGGCAACTGCCTCTGCCACAGGAGCTGTGTAAGGCCACCAGGGGGCACTGGTGTGGACAGGATGCCTGCGGGAGGGGACACAGGCTGGCCTGGAAGCCCCTGTAGGTGAAGCGGAGAGACTGTTGGGGAAGGCATGGGAAGCCTGGCACATCTGTCCTGGGTTTGCATCCTACTCTGCTGCAGGGTGGTGGACAGGCTCCCTCCCTCCCTACCCCAAGGCAAGGCAGGCTGAATTGTGGCCTCACAGCTGCTTTGTCCAGGGGCCCTCAGGGATAGTGGCTGCCCCAGGAGCATCAGCACCAGTTTTGCCTCAGCTGTGGAGCCAGCAGTCCCAGGTCATGTAGGGAGTCTATGCCCCAAATACTGACTGCTAAATGCAGGTGCTGACAACTTAGCACATCTGTTCCCAGAGAACATAAAGTTTACATATTGGGCCAGGCGTGGTGTCTCACATTTGTAATCCCAGTACTTTGGGAGGCTGAAGTAGGTGTACTCTAGCCTGGTCGACAGAGCAGGACTCTGTCTTAAAAATAAATAAAATAAAATATGAATACATAAATATTAGCCATGTCCCTATGTTGATCTGCCAATAACATTTTTTTTTTTTTTTTGAGATGGAGTGTCTCTCTATCACAAGGCTGGAGTGCAATGGCATGATCTTGGCTCACTGCAGCCTCTGCCTCCCGGGGTTCAAGCGATTCTCCTGCCTCAACCTCCCAAGTAGCTGGGATTACAGGTGAGCGCCACCATGCCCAGCTAAATTTTATATTTTTAGTTGAGATGTGGTTTTGCCATGTTAGCCAGGCTGGTCTTGGAACTCCTAACCTCAGGTGATCTGCCTGCCTCAGCTTTCCAAAGTGTTAGGATTCCAGGTGTGAGCCATTGCACCTGGCCTTTTCTTCATGTTTTGTTATTATTATTATTTTGGAGATGGAGTCTCTGTTGCCCAGGCCGGAGTGCAGTGGCACAATCTTCACCTTACTGCAAGCTCCACCTCCCAGCTTCAGCTGTTCTCCTGTCTCTGCCTTCTGAGTAGCTGAGATTACAGAAACCTGCCACCATGCCCAGCGAATTTTTGTATTTTTAGTAGAGACAGCGTTTCTCCATGTTGGCCATGCTGGTCTTGGACACCTGACCTCAGGTGATCCACCCACCTTGGCCTCCAAAGTGCTGGGAATACAGGTCGTGCCTAGCCACCTTCATGTGTTTTGTTATGTTTTAAATGAAAGAAGCAGTAGCTTGGAACTGGAAAGGGGCTCTTGAGGGGGCACAGGGTTGACTTCTCCCAGGTTACTGAGGAGAGGCCAAACCTGCTCAGCCTCCTGGACTTGCCTTTGGGCCACTGAAGAAACCCCAGGTCTTGGTCCCCAGCGCTCCCAGAGCCTGGTATTCCTCTTCTGTCCCAAGTCAAGGGAAGAGCACTAGCAGGTGAAGGGGTGAGCAGCCTGTTGACATACAAATTCCAAGTGATTAGGACCGTATCTGTCAGGCAGCGCAGGCTGCCGATGTCAGATGACCTCATTAGAGTCTGCCTGGGCAGTGACAGAGCATGGCGGCAGGAGTTTCCATGCCCCTTTGTGGGCAGCTTGGGAGGGCAGCAACTTGTATTCACCCAAACTCCGAATCAGGCAGACTCAGGCAGGTTAACAGGTCACGACATCACAGTGTGGCTTCTTGTGGACAGAATCTGATGAAGCCCAGGTGGAGTTTTATTTCTGTTTATCCACATAGTACTTAAAGCTGCCAGACCAGGCTTTACGTGAAATGACCTAATTTGAACCCAATGGGGAATTACCATTGAAGTCACTGATCAGATAAAATAAGAATCCAGTTTTTCTCATCTTCAGAAAACAAAAGCAAAACGAAAGTGACAAGATTTGACTAGAAAGTGCGGGCTGCTGAGAGCAAGACCTAAATAAGCTTAGTTTCCCAGGCCCGGTGTCCTCCGGTATTATGACAATGACATTAAGTCTTTCAGTGGGCCAGGTCCGTGATACACATTCCTTGTGTGACCTTCCCGACTGCAGGAGGTTGGCCAGAGTGTCTCCATCTTCAGATGGGCAGAGGGAGGTTGGCTGGCCGCACTGGCTCATGGTTGGCTGGAGACTGAGTTTGCATCTTGTTACCCCAAAGGCGGGTTGCTTGGTGGACTGCAACCTTCTGGTCTGCAGAGGCTGGTCCACGGGGACGAGCAGTCCGGCTAGCTTCTGCTGGCAGGGGCTGGCAGGCTCCCCCCAGTTGCATCTCTTATCTCTCTATCTCTGGCATCAAGCTCCTTATCCTGGCAGCCAGGGACAGTGTCCTCTTGATCCCGGGAGCCATGCTCTGTAGAAACTGCTGAGATGTGCTTTATGTAGGAGCTAGGCATTAGGAAGCCATGGGAAGGGGCCAGAAACTCTAATGAACTCAGCAATCCTAACTAATGTCCATGCCTGCAGCTGCTCCTCACTGCCTATTAGACACTCTGCAAAATGTAGCTTCTAAGCAATTTATACCCATAAACAGCAATATTGATACTTAATGGGTTCTGCCTGGCAGCTCCTCACCAAGGTGACAGAAAAGCTTCATGGGGCCTTCCTCTCCAGTGTGGCCTTCGGCGTTTTTAACTTGTCCTCAAGAGTGGCAGAGCTAGTCCTCGGCTCTAGGAGCTGGCCTTGGCCCTAGTTGAAGTGCTGGGGAAGCAAGGATGGTCCTGAGGACACCTGAACCTGTTGGTGGCACATCGTGAGGGTGGCTGTCTGGTGTGGTGGGGTCCTGGTGACAGTGGCGGGCTCTGTCATACCCTACTCTGTACTATGAAGGAGCAAGGAGAGAAGGGAAAGAGGTCCTGACTCACCTTTGTGTGCTGATCTTCACGGGAGGTTGAAACACATCCACCCCACTCTTTAGGGGAGTGTGTGGGAGAAGCAGGCGAGGTTGTGGTTAGTGGGGCTCCTCCCAGAAGATGGGGCCCAGTTGTGCTCACTTACTTCTTTCCTACAATTGTGATTTTGATCACACAGGTTTTTAGTAAAGCCAGGCCATCATCTCCCACGTTGGGCTGTGCGACACCTTCTCTGGCCCTGCAGGGTGCTGTGTAAACCTCTAGACCAGCACGGGAGGGAGGCTCGGGCAAGTTCTGGAGCTGCAGTGAGCCACTGAGGTCGAGCCAGCCCTGACAACCTGATGTGAGAAGCCGCTGGGCCGCTTCTACTTCTGTCCCCGTGGTTGCTTTTCCCCAGGTTTAGATGAGACGGAGGCCCGTGTCCTCATTTCTAGGATGTGTGGGACCTGAGTTGGGCCTTGAGCAAGGCAGCCCCAATCCTTGGTAATCAAGGAAATCTGACCTGCCTTTTTCCTCGATGTTCTCATTCACCATGAATTTGCAGGCTGCTTTTCTTAATTGCTTTTTGTCCTGAGTGTGAAGAGAAAGTGGAGTTTTCTGTGTGGCGTGGGAGCTGCAGGTGGCTGTGATGGTGATCACTGTATGCTCACGAAGTCATCTCTCAGGGTGGATATAATTCCGTTTCTCAAATACCCTTCAGTTGTCTAAAATAACCACCCCTCTGAGAGGAATCTCGGTCTTCCTATTAAGCTCCTGAGATGCTGTCACTGCTTATGAATCATATCCTGCTTGATGGCGTGGTTCTCCGAGAGACTTAATGAGAAGCTTGGCCACATACATGAGCTAACTGTGTCATCTCCTTCCTACAGCCTCCCAGGTCAGCAGCCACCTCTGGCTCTCCTGTCACAGTTCTCTGATGGGGGTAGGGGGACTGTCACGGGTTTTCTGTGCTCGCCATGTTTACACAGGTCACCTGTGTGCTGGCTACTGGCAGTGGGCTGAGTGACTGCAGCGTAGCTGCTCTTGTCTGTCCCGTGTGCTGCGTGTCATTCCTGAGCTGGGGGCTCTTCTCTGCTGTGCTGAGGGAACACTGGCTTTGGGACGTGTTCTATAGTGGCATGACATGGGTCCAGTGGCCAAGTTGAAGAAGTTGTGACCAACGTGTGTGGGGAAAGAGGTTCATGTCGGGCCTGGTCTTTAAACATGGCTTTTTCAGTGTTAAGTCCAAACAGTCCCCCACGTTAGGGGATGCTCATTAGATGGTGGCTGGTTTAAAGGAGACTGCATCAGCCTTACAACTAGTCAGCCTTCAGTCTGGACCAGGCTTGCCTTTGAAAACCAGAGCAGCTAAGCAGTAGGTGTGCTCAGTTCATAGTGCAGTACCCCAATTTTTGCATATTTTTCCCCAAAGCCAAGAGCTGTGTCTGTCTCCTCACCACGTTTGCGCAGGGAAGGAGGTGTGTACTGGCGGTCCCACCTTCTTTTTTTTGTTGTTTAATCCTCTTGACCCAGACACTCAGATTAAGAGCCACAGACTCATCAAAGAGACTGTTAAACACTGTCTCAGTCTCATGGGCTGTGCACGTAGCAGATGAGCATGTGAAATGCAGGTCCTGCAGCTGGGGGAGGCTTAGACTGCAGCCCATGACTGGGGCTGGTTTGCTCATCTGAGGTCAGTGAATGGCTCACAGCTCTCGTTTTAGAAGCAAGTCAGAACACCTCTGTTGTCTGTCTTGGGTGTGGATTACAGTCTGCCTCTCTGCTGCTGTTGGGGGGCACACCCTCAGAGTCCTGCCACAGCTCCATGTCATCTCAGAGGTCTGCACAGCCCCTTGTTGAGCTCTTCCTTTCCCGCGGTTGCTTTTCCCCAGGTTTAGATGAGGCGAAGCTCCGTGTCCTTGCCTGGGCTCCCAGCTAGGCCACGACACAAACGCCATTACTTGAGAACAGTGGCACATCACGTGGCAAGGTAGTGTACTTTATCTCTTCCACGGAATATGGATGATTAAACTTTTGCTGGCCATTTAGAAAGCAACGGGGCTATGAGGCAGAACCTGGGGAGGGTGTGTGGCATCACCTTTTCCACCTCCCAGTGTGATGTGGGCATCTTGTGCTGGTCCTCTGCATTGGCTCTGAAATTCACAGGAGAGTATTTGGGGTCTTTTAAAAAATAAAAAGTAAAACAAGGTCTTTCTCCTAATGAGGTTGGAAAGAATCTTAGCAACCATTAGTTCATCTGGCCTCACTCTACTGTAGGATAGTAGAGATGCTATCTCAAATGGCTTGGTGATTCCCTGGGTATCCGTCGGTCACTGTGATGTCTGCCATCACTTCAGTGGAGTCAAAGGTTGAGTAAATTTGTGTAGAACTGACACTGCAGGGTGCAGGCTCACTGGGTTTGGGGAGAATGGCCACCTGGCTTTGTAATCTTCACCTCCACCCCCTGCCACATGGGAGCCAATCTGCAGTTCTGACCTAGCCAGGGCCCCACTTGACAGGCTGGAGGGTGATCTGAACAGCCGGGGCTTGTTAACTGAGATGGGAAGCCTCAGCAGTGTCTAGGAGATTGAAGCATCTTGAAGGATGGTGAAAAGTAAGAAGCACGTAGGCACATCTTCTTTTATTCCAACAGTAGGTTTAGTCAGCCTTAGGAGGGACTGTGCAGCTGACATTTGCTCGCCTCTCCCGCGGGGGTCAGGCTTTCGGGTGCCCTTTAGACTCTGGCTTCCCAACTGGCATTCGTGGGTGGGTCCCCTGATCTTTCTCTGAAG